TATATATATATATATATATATATATATATATATATATATATATATATATACACTTTTTATTATAATTTATAAAAACCAATTAAAATTAAAATGTTTGTAGTAAATCATAATTCATATGATATATGTAAAAATAAATATTTTATTGAGCTTCAACATTATTGTAGATCATCTTATATATGTCTAGAGAAATAATATAGATCTAAAGTAATTTGACCTGGGCGTTGTATAGAACCTTAGCAATACTGAATGGCCCACCGGGGCGCCAAATTGAACGTGATTCCTCCCGAGTCGGCTCAACCGTGCCCCCAACCTCAGTTCCACATAACACGGGGCTGAGTGCGCGGAGGATAGAGAATTTTATCTTGATCGGGTAGTGGTTTAGGTCACTATGATTGCAAAATATCACGAACTATGTCAATTAAATGCGCCGTTAAGTCGAGCAAACATAAAAAAGGGCGCTGAATGGGAACAGAGGGTACATCTTGATTTTCCCCCATATTTAATTCTTTTTTCTTCCCTTTTTCTCGCTGCGCGTTTGCACAGAAAGCTCATGGACGATGTTCAAACTAAAAAATAATCTCCATAGATTCTCACAAGGCAACGCAAAATAAAATATCTGTAATAATGAAATATACGCACACCTACCTTCTAACACCAAGACACTTTCTTGCGTGTCGTTACAATAAAGCTGTGCAAAATAGTGAAATAGGTATTCTGAAATGTAAAGCAAACAGAAGACAAAATTATTCTTTATTAATTGAAAATAATTTTAGTAAAAGCTTAAAAAACGTTTATTGGACATTAATAATGACGTTTGTTGGACGTTAATAATGACATTTTATTGGCTGTACAAAATTATTCTTTTTATAGACACAAAATGAAAGAATGATATGAAAATAATGAATCACGATAGAAGATACTTTAATTAAACACAGTGCAATTCTAATAATATCAAAGTAGACTGACAAGTATAAGGCAGTAATAAAAGTTAATAATAAATATGTTCACAAAATGATAGCATATAAGATATAATTCTTTACATTATTAACTTATGATATAAGTTGTCAGATTTTCGATATTACAGACACTTATATATTAGGAACATTTTGCGTAATATAATCAAATGATTCCATTTCTATGAGCAAACAATAAGAACACACGATAAGAAGATTGATATCTATCAAAATTAGAAAATCTATTAAAGGGGAATTATTCACGACATTGACATTGCTTGATGAGCTTCTCAAGCACAAGAAGAGGAAAATACATCAGGATTCAAAGTTTCAGAAATGTGGGTAAAAAGATTTAAAGTTGCATGTGATATTGTCTTAGAAAATAATAATAAATATTTAGAAAATAGAAAATCTTGGTAGAAAAAATCGTTTTTGATATTATGACATTTTTTCCATACTACCTTTACAATGAATATATACTATAAATGTAACACATGTATTATTTGTTAATGTATAAATTTTGTATATTCTGTTTTTTTTATACATATTATATATTTTTTTTGTTTACTCTACATATATTATTTCTCTACATATTATTATATTATTATTCTATATATTATGTGTTTCTTTACACATTATATTACTCCATAATTTATGTTAAACCTTGTTACATTTCCTTAATCACAATTGGGAATTGCGATGCCATACATATATATTTCTGTTGTTATATATACATATATAATACATGCATATGTTATATATATATATAATATAATATGTATATAATATATGTATTCATCTATGCTCATTCTTCTTTATTTCGTGTAATATATTGCATATTATATCATTAAAATTGATCCACTTTTATATAGTAGAATGAGAAAATATAGATAGGAGACAATTATGCTGAGTGTGTGTATATATATATATATATACACACACATACTGTAACTGAAAAAAATAATGCAATACCTACTTAGCTACTATTACTACACTAGAGCTTATGGTATAATGTTATTATCTCATGTTATTCTCTAATGTTATTATCTCAAAATTAGTAATGTATTGAAATATCTAACTTGGACACTTTAATACTTTGGTGACTGCAAATATATTAATATATATCAGCACTATATCAGCTGACTCTTAAAGAATTTAGTTATTAATCTATTGAATTTTATTAGAGAGCCTATCCAATCTTTTTAAAATGTAATATTCACAATATATAGTACAATTGCAAGATATTGCAGTATAATATGCACAATTCCAAATATTGTCGTGCAATATAAATCTATCCTATGCTTCTATAATATTTCTAAATCTTTTTAATTTAAATCAGACCTTCCTACTTCTCTGTATTAATTAACTCATGCACAAGCTGCTCGTATATTGACAAAGTTATATATGCTGTTAATTTATATAGAGAAGAATGAAACTAGTCTCATAGACAACAATAAATCATATACTTTTTTCTATACACAATAAACAGCTAGATGTAGCTCCTTTGCACCACTTGCTCTAGTGAGCAATACATAATACAATAGTTTAAGGTGGCTCATAAACAAAATATAATACAAATACACAGTGTAGTATGAAAGTCTTCGAAGGCTCGTAAACAAAGTTTCTCGTTTAACGTTTCGTGATATATCCCCGGGTATTTAGCTCCGAACAAGACAAGATCGACAAACGCGAAGCGACTTCATGGGACAAACATTTCGATCGCGATTACGAAACATAGGAATGGCAAGTCATGGAGAATGCGTGTACATACTTTCGTTACTTTCCTGGGCTGCCAGGCGATATCAACAGAGGAGAGATGCCGCGATTCGGCTGACCTCGGGCAATTTCCTGTCAGCGCGTGTACTTGTCGCGGGACATCGGATGTTGTTGCACGACACCGTCACTGATATCGTGGCCGTCGACGTTGTTGTTATTGTTGTCGACTTGCACCGCACGCGAGAGTTATCACGAGGGTGCTCTCATTTTTGACGTTTACTACCTGTCCCGCACAGTACCACTATACCAGCACCCTGGTCACTCATGAACTCAACTGAACCCAACCACCTCGAACTGGACGCAGCGGGTCAAGCTCAAAAGTTGCCCAGACTGTTTCGTGAAAATTTCTCACGACACAACGTATTATTTTATGAATTAACGCAAAAAGAGTTATCTGAAATATATATATTTCGACAGTCTTCTATCAGTGTGTGACAATAATATTAATAAAATATCTAATAAAATGTAACTATAATGAAAGGTACTATATGGGAGATCTGTTTGAAGCTTCTCTCTCTCTCTCTCTATGGCTTCAGACCTTTATCTGTGACCCTTTCACCAAGTTTGAAGCTGCAAATGCTTCGGAGCGCGAAAAGAAGAACCGATTAGTCGACACAGCACTTCCAAACATTTGAAATGTCAAAAGGATCTTACTCATAATTAGATCTTATAGGCCTTTTAAGCCTATAAGATAAGATGTAAGCAATAAGTAAATTTACCAATCACAGTTATTTGATAATTTAATCGATGGTGATTGATCAATTTTCTTATTGCTTACATCTTATTACTTATTGTACTTATTGTCTCTTCAGAGGCGTCTATATTGGAAGTAAGTAGTAAGAAGTAGGAAGTAAGAGTAAGAAATTGACCAACCACAGTCGAGTGTGAGAAGAATAATCAACTATGATTGGTCAATTTCTTATTCTTACTTCCTACTTCTTACTATTTACTTCCAATGTAGACGCCTCTTTAAAAGGCATACTATAAGTAAGAATAAGAAATTAACCAATCATAATTGATTATTCTTCTCATATTTGACTGTGGTCAATTTCTTACTCTTACTTCCTACTTCTTATAGCTTCTGCACACAGGACGCGGTAATGCTTGCCGCGCGGCGGAAGTCCGCGTGATAGCCAATCAATATGTTGTTTTTCCGTAAGACCTAGAAGGTTATTGCGGAAAGCAGCATATTGATTGGCTGTCGCGCGAACTTCCGTCGCGCGGCAAACATTACCGCGTCCTGTGTGCAGGAGCCATTACTACTTACTTCCAATGTAGACGTCCCTTTACCCTTTGTTCATAACTTGCTTTAATTCTTAAGCCATAAGATATTGACCAACTACAATTGATTATTTTTAAAATAATAGAATGTGGTTGGTCAATTTATTACGGTTTAAAAATTAAAGTAAGGTTGTGGACAAAGGGTTATATTTAAGATCATCTTAGGTCGGTATTCATAGTCCGATCTTATATTTAAGATTATTTTAAGTACTGTCTTAAGATGTCATGAACCAAACACAGAGCCTTATCTGCATCTTAAGACATTATTTAAGATGGTCTTGAAATAAGATTCGACTATGAATACCGGCCTTAAATGTATTTTCAGATACTGTGCAAATTATTTTATTGGCTACAGAGCATTTAAAGATGAATTTAAGGGTCTACAGGAGTCATACATTGTGTCATACAAAACCAGTTTATTGGTTGCATATTATCTAACAAGATATTTTAGATAATATGTGACTAATATACTACCTGGGCTCTTATTCTTGAAATAGTTGCGTATACGTAAGTTTTACTGGCGCAGGTTTAATCATATCATAAAATAGCTGCACAATGAAAATTACGTATATGGAAAAATTTCAAGAATAGGGGCCCTGAAACGCGCTGCCTCTTGCGTGCGGGATAAGAGAGAGAGGTTCCTTGTTTCCTCTCTTATCCTTGTCTGGTTCATAGTATAGTCGAGAGTGGGGAGAATGTGATACAATCCAAGTTAAAAGTTAGAGATACTATGAAAAGCAGTGACCATTGAATGATAATGACTTAAGCTTATGAACGAAAGTTTAAGATATAAAAAAGATATATATTTTTTCTAATTTATTAGTATTCACTTATCAACTTATTATTAAGAAAAACAAAGCAAAAATGGTTCCTAATTTGGCGATTCAGTTTATGTTTAGAAATCAGCCGACTTAGCTTTTGGTTCAGACTGTACTAGACAAAGACAGAGAGCTATTCTGGACCTACAAGCATGCTCTCTCTTATCCCGCAATACTCAAAAGGTAGCGCGCGTTCCAGGTAGTATATATTTCAGTGCTGTTTTTATATATAGACCAGTATTCATAGTTCGATCTTATATTTAAGATCATCTTAAGTACTGTTTTAAGATGTCATGAAACAATCATAGAACCGTATTCACATCTTAAGACATTAGTTAAGACGATCTTGAAATAAGAACTATATTCGACTATGAATACTGGCCTATATTTTAATTTATTATAAATTTTTAAGGGCCTAACCGTCAAATAAGGCTCTATAGTAATATCTTAGCGATAATACAAGAAAGATATAAAAAAATTGTTTGATGAACAAATGTAATATCTATAAGGCAAAATTTGGTAAGTGCAGATATTATGAAAAGTATAATATAGCTGCACTTTAGTGCAAGTAGCTTGACCCAACTTTTCTGTCTTGCATCCGCACAATTCGTACATTAATTTTGTGTATGTATATATGCGTGATCACAGATGTCCATACTAAACTAGATTGCTAACAGGTTATCTAAAAGCATGTAACGGTTTATGTCTGATAGAATTTCCGGTGCATGCGAGAAAATGGCCGCTATCGCCACATATTTTCACTACGTTTAGTCATAAAATTCTTTTGTTGAAAATGAGCAGAACAAATAACGTCCAATACAATCTATTTTTTGTTACGATATTTTTTGATGCAATAATGTAATTTTTGATGCATTAATGTAATGTAATTTAATGGCCACGCTGACTCACATTGTACTTGTGAGTACTCACACAAGTGACACGTCACACACACAACGTCACACACACAGGAACGCCGCCATTTTCTTGCATGCAACCGGAAACCTTACGTGACTCACGTTTGAAGCCTTTGTTAGCAATCTAGTTTAGTATAGATATCTGTGTGCGTGATGCGTGTGTAGAAATCAATCGTATATAGCACATGAACGTAAGAATATATAGACGGAGTGAATTATCGCGGGGGTGAAGCCCAAGGAGAAATAATTGTACTGTACTGGATATGTATTGTACTGGAGTTCCGGTACCAAGACGGGCGCTGTTTTTATACACAGAAAATAGATACAAACTCCGGCACGAACATGGCCGCGACGATGTAATCCTCTTGCCCCTTGGACTTCACAGCCCCTCGACATAATCGCACTTTTCGCTCCGTCCATGTATTCTTACGTCCATGATATAGTACAGTTGTTGTCTATGTATATGATTGCGTTCCAATATTCAATGCTAATACTAAACATTTAATCATATCGCCTAGCGGCGCCAAGATTTTTTTCTAAAGAAAGTGGCGGTTCGTAGCGGAGACTTTGGAACTAATTGTAAGAAATAACAGGAGTAGGTATAGTATGCAGGTTCTAACTCGGGTCCTCTGAGGGGGATGTGGGGCGAGGAGAACTGCTGGCACGGTGGATGACATCACGCGGAGAGGAGAGACCGAAATAATGACGAGGAAGTAGGAGGAGACGTACCGACGTTACCGACGTCGATAATTTACTTTTTAACTGACATATTTTTTTTACCGGCATATTTTTTACCGACATATTTATTTATCAACATACTTTTTACCGACATATTTTTTAACATAATTTTTACCGACGTAATTTTCTAAAATAAAAATAAAAGTAAAAATTATGTTAATAAATAAATATGTCGGTAAAAAATATGCCGGTAAAAAAATAAATTATCGACGTCGGTAACGTCGGTACGTCCCCCCTCCTTCTCCTCTCGTCCTCATTTCGGCCCATCCTGCCTGCGTGACGTTATTCCCCGCGCCTGCAGTTCCCCTCGCCCCGCACCCCCCCTCAAAGGACCCGAGTTAGAACCCGTCTACTATATCTACTAACAGGTTTAATGTACTTTATTTCTATAAATTCCAAAGGGCTTAATTCTCGACAGTGTGTGCAAATGAGATGCGCGTACGAATAACTACTAAATCGATCTCGACAATAATGTAAGGAACAAGTAAAAAATGGTCTTTATGGCAAGCATAATTTCTACGTTAGATATTCTGCTTTGGAGAAACAATGTTTGCCACAAAGCCCATTTTTACTTGTTTCTTATATTGTTATCAAGGTCATTATACAGCCAGATTTTGTAAATAAATATATGATTTTATTCAAATAGTCGCATATACTCATATACTGCACCACTCGATATATGTTCTATCTTCTATGTTATATATTCTACATCGAAGAATTAATGCTATTTATAGTTATTTGAAGAACAATAATTTCATTTACGGCAAATTGTTGTTTTAATTTAACAAACGCGAGAGACGCAGAGTATTTCACGTTTAATATTTATCAAATTCAAGTAAAGATAACCTGGAGAACAGACTTAGATTTAAAAAAATTGTTATAGTATCGGACTGTTGGACGAAAATAATTGATTGATCAATCCCAATATTTGTAATAATAACGTTATATTCCGTATATTTGTAATAATAACATTTTCTCGTACAGAAAATACAAGCACACAAAAATGACATTTTAATTTTTCACGCGTATTGCCGAACGCGCGCTTCGCTTATGATTAAAATATAAATACATATGTGTAAAAATGAAAATAAAAATATGTATATAACACGTGTAAAAGTGAGCATGTTAAAACGCACACAGTAGTAAACGTTAAAAATCGCGTTAAAAATTACGTTACACTTATTTGTATTGAGTGAACCTCAAAATATAAATGATTCTTGATATTGTTCGCTTGTATCAACAAGCGTTCGCTCTACCAACGTGTAGGTATATGAAAGATTGTGTAATGAGCAATCTTGAATCTTTTAGATGCAATGAGACAATTATACATTTATGTCATTATAATCTTTTGGAACAATATGCGCGAAGGATCGCAGAAGATTGTAGAACAAAAAACAAAAATAAATTTACAGATAAAAACGCACATGCATTTCAGAAAATCGTCACAACATAAAAATACTGGTCTTTCGTTTTACTTGAACAATCCGAAATTGCTTATTGTATAAGCCAATATTTTCACCGAGACCGCCACGAGTCCGGCCTTACTTCGAACTTTGAGCGAATTGTGCGTTTGATTATTAATTTAATTATTAATTTTTTAAGATAGATAAATAAATAGGTCTATACCGTAAATTTTTGGGACATGCTACAATTTTGACGTGCTGTGGATGTCGTACGGTGCGCGTGATACGTGTGTTACGCACGATAGTAGCACCCGCACGTTATTATTCTACGGCATTTGCTGCTGACGTTGCCAATTCTTCTTCAGCTCATGCCAAGACTACACTACGCATTGTGATAAACAATTTACTGTTCCATCTGGAACGTTGGTATAAGCTCATTGATATTCAAATTCAAGGAATCTTGCGACATCAGCATCTGTTGTTCTTTCGACAAAGTTTCGCTCATTTCTGACTGGTGCTGCGGTTTGTGCAGAGTATATGCCTCATATAGCTGTGTGATTGGGACTGTAATAGATACTATATATTCACCGTCGTATATTACCGCAATATATGCGCGAGAGATTAAAGTTCAAAGTAATGCGATTCTTTAGATCGAGGAATGACGCGAGTGTAACAAAAAAACGATTAAAATTTCTTGGAATGGAATATCACTCAAAAGAGAGGAAAATGACAATGTTTTCACTCGAAATTACTGCTACTCGAAATTCGCAAGAGCAAGGGCCAATTCATTAATAGTAATCTGAGAGAGAATTTTCTATATTTTTAAATTTTATTCTAAAATTCCAATTCTAAATTTAGAAATTTAAATTATGTTCAAATATATCAAATACATTGTTAGAATAGGGGTCAAATTTAAATCTAAGTTTAAATTACTATTGAAAAATCGGCCTCGAATGTCTTACTCAGACTTGGAGTGGATTCCGAGTCCATATAAGTGAATATTTCAAGCATTTAAAATAAATACGCTCTTTTAACGATGGAATAATTAGATTTGCTGCGTAATTTCGAGTGAAAATATTCATTCGACAATTTAAAGTGTAAAAAATACATGTTGATATATATATATATATATATATATATATATATATATATATATATAT